GCTGGTTGGATCCAACCCAACGTCCTTCTAAATTTTCACCGAAATCTGTAAAGTGGGGCTGTCAGTAAGCAACTTAAGGAGACACTCCGGTTGAAGTGCTTTTGTTTCAGGAGATCTGTGTTATACCACAGGAAAGGGAAAAGATGGTCTTTTCCTTCCAACACTTGTTTTTAAAAAAATTGTATGCTCCTCAGTAGAACTGTGGAATACTCACCGTCAGTTACTTCAAAGGATTCTAGGAAGAGATCGTCTAGCCGGACGAGCGCGAGGGCATCCTGGAACATTTAAGAGAGGAAACTTAAAGCGTCACAAGGATCAGGCACAATCCACGGTAAATGCAGCAAGTAGGTGCCCCCAATTCCCCCCCCAGAAGGGGCTCCCGGGGTCTGGGGGAACCCCTGTGAAGAGCACAAAATAGGGTTCATGGGGCGTGTGCACAGGAAGGAGACAATCAGGAGAAATCACTAAAGCTATCCCCCAAATGAAGCAAGTGCTCACCACACAAGGGGGTGGATTTCTACCAATAGCCCCATCGCCGTAAGGGAGGGGCTGTGTCTCAGTGGCTGAGCCTCTGCTTGGCGTGCGGAAGGTCCCAGGTTCAATCCCCGCCATGTCCAGTTAAAAGGACCAGGGAGGGGGTGATGGTAAAGACCTCGGCCTGAGACCCTGGACAGCACTTGCCCGTCTGAGCCGCCAACACTGACCTTGACGGACCACGCATCTGATACAGTAGCCTCATGGGGGTCGTAGGTGATTTTCCTTGAGTCCCCTGCACAGCCCGATCCCGTCCCCTCCACGATCCACAGGAGTGTTTTGGAGGAGGGTCCGAGGAGCTGCAGCGGGTCGGGGAAAGACCCCATTTGCAAGCTCTCGCCGTTGGCAGCACACTGGACCCCACCAGTCAAGAGGAAATGTAAACCAGCACCACTGATGTAAAAACCTGGGCCCTTGGCTCTGCGTAACTGTATTCCCCTTCCTCTAAAATGGGCTCCGAGGAAACAAAGAGCACCTGCTGTAGAGCCCTTCGGACCAATTTCCATTTGTTTTTAAAGTTGGTTAAAAAGAATCTCCCCAATGGAAGAACTACATCAAATGGATTTAATTAAAATGGTGTGCCTTTTTGTCTATTTCAACTGCTTGCATATTATTTATATAAACTCTTTATCAATCACGCTATACATATGCTTTGGTTAATTTTTATTCTTTCTTGTCATTCTTTATCTACAGAATATTACCCTCACCTCTCATTCCTCATATGCCTTGTTTAGTGATATGGTAATGTAATCTTAGTTTAATTTATCATCAATTGCCAGTCGTACTAAATTTTTGTATCTTACTGAGTTTTGGATAACAAAGTTATGCTTAATGTTAAATTGTTTTATATCATTTTCTAGTTCGGGGGTAAGTTTAGATTACCCTCTTCAAGTGTATCTTAGCCTGTTATTATAATAGTGTTTACTGTTAATTCAACGATTTTTTCAATAAAAATTGCAATTTTTTTTAAAAAAGAAAAAGGAATCCCTGTTTAAAATAAAGGTGCAGTGAATTTACGCAAGCCGGCAGCGTTTGCCACAGAGTGCGAGGGATTGCAAAACCACAGCGGGAGCCGAGTTTTATATTTGGAGGTCGGACTGAATTCAGAAGCCCAACTGTCTAAGGACCAATGAGGAGAACCGCATTTCACTGTATAGGCTATGGATAAATGAACACAGGGAGCTGCCTTCTATCGGATCAGACCTTTGGTCTCTCAAGGTCACGACTGTCTACTCAGACTGGCAGTGGCTCTCTAAGGTCTCAGGCTGAGGCGTCTTTCACATCACCTCCTCCTGCCTGGTTCTTCCAACGGGAGGTGCCAGGGATTGAACCTGGGACCTTCTGCATGCCAAGCAGATGTTTTACCACTGAGCCACGGCCCCTCTCTGAACAAAGGAAGTCCTTCTTCACCCAAAGAGTGATGAACACATGGAATTCACTGCCAAAGGAGGTGGTGGCGGCTACAAGCATGGATGGCTTCAAAAGGGGATTAGATAGGCATATGGAGCAGAGGTCCATCAGTGGCTATTAGCCACAAGGTTTAGATAGGGGCTCTGGGGCAAGGGATGCTCTGTCTTCTTGGTGCTGG